ACTGTAGAGACACTCAGTCCAGCTCCTCTGTATCTTCACAGTAACACTCCATCATCATCAGACCTGTGAAGTGGCTGTATGTGGTTGTTTCTGCAGTGTGTGGGAGATCAGATACTCAGTTTCCAAGAGAGCGCAGACAGGCAAAACAAAGGATTGTCTCTCTTTAAATTCGTTCTCTTTTCCGTTCCGCTTGAATCCGGGGTTTTCTGGGGAGAGACAGGGGATTTTGATGACAGTTTGTTGGCATTTTATCCAGGGCCAGTTTTCAGGCGACAGCCCACAGAGCCGGTCCCGGGCGGGGAGTGTCGCCTGAGGGCCGCCCGTGTTAGTGTCAGGTGTCTGCGCCTCGCCAGACTCTCCACGCCATTGTTGTGGAACACAGACAGCGGAGGACGGACGGGGGGGGGAGGATTAGTAGGCGGTGGTAGCTGAGGGGAGAAAGGGAGGGGCGGGGCGCCGGCCGGGAGGATGACATCATCTTCTCTCTGAAATCAATCACGGCTCCGGCAGTGATTGGGCGCTGGCTCGCTGGCTAGATGCTGGGAAGTTCTCTTCCCCCTTTTTTTTTTTGAAAAAAAAAATCCTGCTTTTTTTCTCTTTCAGTTTCGTCCCCCGCCTCCATCCCGTCGGCGCGGTCACTCCCTCCCTCTCTCTTGTCCGCGATCCGGAGCCCATCGGCAGCTCTTGTGTGTGAGCCCAGCGCCCGGGGCGGTCGGACTGGAGGCCCATCAGCACCGCTCCCTGTTCGCTCGAGTCGGTGTGTCTGCAGCCGGTACCGGCGCCGGGAGAGACGCGGCGGAGGAGCCTGTGTTCGTGAAGCGCTGGGCGTTGTAGAAGCGGCTCTGTCCTGCTCTGTCGCCGGCCCCGCTCGCTGGAGGTGAGGGACTCGCTGTGTGCCGAGCACGCCGTCCTTTTGCCCTGAGGCCGCCGGGTTCTGTCTGCGCCTACGCCCCTTTTGTCGTGGTTATAGCGAGCGAGGTTTCGGCTGTCTGTGTCGTCCCGTGTGAAGCCGGCTCCCAGCCCAGAGAAAGTGCCGTGCTGAATCCGGTCTCGCCACCGCCCGCCCGCCCACGGCGGGGCTGCTGGCGGCGCTCGCTGTCTTTGTGCGCATTTGCGGCGCTCGCTGGGTTTCGGCTGCTCTGCGCTCAGCAGGCTGCCCCTCATTCCCCCTTCATGGTATCTGGGCCGCAGCGCCTGTTCGGAAAACCCGGGGAGGCAAGTTGTGTGGGGGCAGCGGGGAGGGCGTGTGTGGCGGGGGAGATGAAATTGCTCGTGTTCTGACTTTCTGACGGCTGCAGACGAAAGTCTCCTCAGCCGGGCCCGGGCTGGGCTGGTACCTTCGGGAGTCCTTTTGTTTGGGGCCGGGCGGTGTGGGTTTTGGGGTACGGGGAGGAGGAGGAGGAGGAGGGGGGGGTTGGGCGTGTGTCGCTGCGGGTGATGGCCGGTGCCGGTGTGGCTGGGTTTGTACTGGACCGCAGTTGAAGATGCGCTTGGACCGGACACTAGCGGGGAAGGACTCCAACAAAAGCGCAATGGTGCGACTGGTCCTCCCGAACCCCTGGACGATCCGGGGACATGGGGACGCGGTCCAGCCGCGCTGACGGGAGACGGGTGCTCTCGGCTCGGCTTGGGCTCGTCTTGCGTGCCGCCGCCGCCTCTCCGCCCCGGGGAGCCGGGCGGGTAATCGCGCGGCGGTAATCGCGCTGTCCGCTCGGCTGGGCTGAAAAGCGGCTCCTTTCTTCAGGACCAGAATCGCAGCCTTGCCGCCGCCCCCCCTCTCCCCCCCCACCCGCGCGGCCGCTCTCGCTCAATACAGGCGAACAAAGGTGCCGGACGCGCGCGCGTCTCAGCGGCAGAACAGAATGTGATTCAGACGCTGAATCCGAGGAGATAAAGGAGCAGACGGGCGAGCGAACTTTCCCCCTTTTACAGCAGGAGCCGGAGGCGACACGGTACGGCAGCTCTGGGGAAAACAGTGTTAGACACCCTGTACCTCGCAGCGTGAAGTTACAGATGAAAAGTGTCATTTTATTAGTTGTTGTTTTCGTCGGATCACGCCGCCGGGCCCGCACGGTTGTGGCGACCGTATCGATCCGGATCACCCGCTGATCAATCCGGGATCGATGCGAGCGAACCGGAGCCCGTATCCGCCCTTCTGGCTTGACGGCGGCTGGTGGGAGTTTCTCTCTGTGCGGGGTGGGGGGGTCGCGAGAGTGCCGCGCTGCACGAGGCTCGCCGGTGTTCGGGGGTCCGGGGTGAGCGAGACGGGCAGGTGTCGGAGCAGCCGCGGGGCAGCAGGTGTGCGCGAGAGCTGGGACTGCGGGCAGGTGGTCGGACAGGTTTTCTGTCGCCGTGGCTGAGGGTCGGCGCGTCTTTCACTTCCCTCATCCGAGCCCTTCCCGGCCGGAGAGCAGGAACTGGGACTGGGAACCGGATCAGGCAGGCTGGATGGACGCCGGGGCCGGGAGTTCCTCTGTGGTTTGGGTGTGTCTCGGCCCGGTTCTGGCTGTGTGCTGTAGTGCATGTGAGCAGTGTCGGCCCGGTTGGTACTGAACTGTGTAGTGGTGCGCTGCACATAAACCTGGACCAGGGTTGGTTCACCCGGAATGAGCTAGTTTGCTTATTTTGTTTGACGATCTGATTGAAGTTGAACTGGTTCCCATTGAGTCAGTGCAGAGACCAGTGCAGTAGACACTGATTGAAGTTGAACTGGTTCCCAGTGGGTGAGTGCAGAGACCAGTGCAGTAGTCACTGATGGGGCTCCTGGCTCAGCTGCGCTGCAGTGGTGTCCCCTGGTCTGTCCGCGGAGGAAGACGCCCCCTCACCCCCTGCTTCCTCGCTGGCATTCCTTGCGGAGCTGCTGGTGGAGCCCTCTTCCTGCTGGCGCCTCGCTGCTCCGGGCTGGGACTCCCGGCATTGTTCCCGTCAGCCTTCGCGCACGAGCACCGTCTCCACGGAGACTGCAGGTCCGCCTCTGCCGCCCCCCGCAGGTCTGCGCCGGTACTGCAGCGTGCTGTCTGTACCCGCCTGTGTCCTGGCTCAGGGTGTTGGCTGGGCTCCTGCTGGCCGCGCCTCCAGAGACCCGGGCCGAGGAGTGGGAATTCGGGGGCCTGCAGTGTGACCTCTGCTCTCTCCTCTGGGGCGGTCCAGCGCTGGGTGGGGGGGCAGTGATGACAAGCGTGTGCAGCAGTGCCCTGATCCTGGTGGACTTAGCCCAGTCTGTGTAACCACGGCACCTGCCCTTCTTCCTCTGGCTCATTCCTCTTTTAGACCCCCTCCCTCCCTCCGACCGGCGGCAGGACCGCAGATAATGTGGGATTAGCGTCAGTCTTTGTCCAGGGTTAACGAGCTCTGTGGGTAATAAATCCCGCGCTCTCTGAGTCGCCTGAGCCGAGCCCCGGTGGCGACGGCGTTCCCCCGGCGTGACCTCGTTTGTTGGCGCTGCCGTGGGCGTCCGTTTTGCAACGGCGCGTGCCGTAGGATCCCGATCCCAACCTCCCGTGCTCCCGGAGGAATTCCGCCGAGCGGGGCGTCGGGTGGGGGCCGCCGTGGCTCGTGTCCTCTCCGCTGTGGGTGCTGAGGAATTCGGGGGCTATGGGAAAGATCCTTGCTGATCCATCGGCGTCCCAGCCGGAGGGGGGGGCGGAGGTGCAGACTTGTCTGTCAGCAGGGCGGTGCCAGCCTTGGGCATCAGCCTGGATTTCAGCAGCTGGTGCAGCCGGTTTGTAAACAGCAGAAAGGATTATTCATGGCAGCCTGCTTGGCCATCACAAATGTTATGTTACAAGGGCTGCTGCACAGGAGTATTGGTCCCAGTGCAGTAGAACAGTCCTGTTACAATAGGAGCTACAGTCCCAGTGCAGAAGAACAGTCCTGTTACAATAGGGGCTACAGTCCC